AAGAAAATGACATCTTTTGAAAATGTACCAAAATGAAAGTTGATTAGAATTTAATTTTCTACAACTTTGCTTTTATGACCACAATAAATTCTTTCTAGATTTTGAATTGTAAGGTCAAAGTCCACGTTTAACTCAAAACCCTAATTTTTGGGAATTTATTTTTGAAGCCAAATTTTGAATTAATTTGAATACAAACTTTGCTCCAAAAATTGAACTAAACATTGCTAGATCATTTACAATAGTAGCCAAACATGTTTCACTAACCTAGCAAGCAAAATCAGGGCAAAACAACTCTTAAACAGGTGTATGCAACATTCAGGTTTCACACATTTTTCAAATGTTTCGAAGCAGTGTTTCAATTGTTATTTACATGATTAGGCATGTATGATTAGGATGCTTGATGATGCATGATATGTATGATTAGCAGTGCCTAAATGCAGGCATAACACCGGGGTGTTACATGCCCTCTCCCGACGGTCGTCCTTGCAAGCACGACCTCCTCGTCCGCCGATTGCCTTTGTGGTCATCTTTCCTTCGTGGCGGTTGGCCCTGGTCTCTCCACTCCTGGTCACCGATGATCGCCCAGGCAGTCCAAATCCCAGTCCACGAGACCTCCAACCACCCCACACATATGCCCAGCCGCTAACCACTAGAGTGAGAGGGAGCGATAGGGAAGGAGAAGACAAAGGAAATAACGAAATTAAAAAAATGTCAATGACAAATGGATCTCACTTGTCATAAAGAAATTAGGGACCTTGATTTAAGGACTATTGTTGTAGCTGAGATGCTCAAATTAAAGTAGAGGCTCTAATTGAGGCGCGATGGTTTCTCTTATCTTAATCTCGATGTTTGGAGTACAGGCTCTAGAGCGGGGCTTTGATTTTTACCGGGCATGGTACTAAAGTACTCTCTTCACTACATAAGAGAACGTTCAAGAAAAAAACTGCATTTTGTATAATCTCCGGCGTTTGGAGTACGGCCTCTAGGGCGGGCCGTTGGCTTCACCGGGCCTGGTACTAAACTCTCTTAACTATAAGAGAGCGTACATTCACGAAAAGAACTGTATTTTGTATGACCATGCTTTCAAATCAATCCAATCTCGCGCAACAGTTCAGACGTTCAGTTAGCAGCATGAATGTTCGTTTGCTGGCGCCTTTGTTAAGTTTGAGTAGTAAGCTCAATCTGGCACTAGCTCTTCTGTTTGGATTACACGGCAAAACTTTAGCTCTGTATTTTTAGTTTTTTTTTTGCCATGAGGATCCAAACAGAGAGGATAAAAGTGAGTAAATGGCTAAAAATTTGACTAAAATCTTTTGCTCCCAAAGAGGCCATAAACTGGGCTAAACTCCCTCGGGGCAGGCGCTGGACGTCCCATACCCCTTGCCGCTGGCATGCATGGCTATGCATGGATAATTAAATGAGGGTAAATCAGTCATTGGCCCCGTTCGCTTCGCTGAAAAAACAAGTAAAAGCGTTGTTCTGGCTGATTTATTATGAGAGAAAACACTGTTCCGATAAAAAACAAGTTGAAAAAGACGGATTATAAGAGAAACGAACAAAAGTATTATAGATTAGAGGACTAAAGTTTAGCCAAGATGACAACCCAGCGGAACTAAAGTTTATGAGGTAAACTGTAGAGGCTAAACTAGTCCTTGACTAGTCAGCGAAAAGGTAAAAAGTGAGAGATCGCGTGGATGGATTCCCTATATCTCTAGCGCAGGCGCAGGCGCTGGCGGTGCGCAGAAGCAGGACCGGAAATCCACGGCAAGTGCCATCAGAATCCCTCTTGGATTGCAAGCCATCGAATCTTGCGTGCCATTACCAGGACAGGCGTGATCCTGGGGGCCATCGGATCCGCTCGTGCTCAGATCTCGCCATCTATCTGCATCAGCAAAAGCAGCCGGCCTGTGAGCCATCGCCGGCGCTCGCCGCTCCTCCGTCCCTGCCTCATGGCTGCTCGCGTCGCACATTGCCCGTTGCTGTTGCCTTCATGCCGGACCCTGTTCGACACCGATTGATCCGTCTGTGGCGAACCGGTCTCGTTTCGATCGCCGTCGTCCATCGGAATTAAAACATTGTAGATAATGTGGAGTGTGTTTTGTTTCCTTCCATCATTATTAGACGATGTAATGTAATAATGGGCTGAGAACGGATGCAACGCAACACGACCGGAAAAAAAAGGCCCAATAAATAGGTTAGGTACGTACGAACCTTTCTTTTAGAACCATTCCATCGAATAACTTTATAGTCGGCATGCAGATAGATCGCGCGGTTTGATGGATCGATGCATGGCCTGATAGGAACCTGTGGATTATAGCATGTAGCCTAGCTAGCCACCAAGCTTGGACACTAGGGTAGCCGGGGTGCTGGACCAAAAGGACATGTTCGTCGTCGTCGGAGGCTCCTCCGATCGGTCTGCGTCGTCCGTGTATACGCAGTGGCGTGGTGCGTGCCTGTCTTCTCGATTTCTCTTGTAAACATGTATCACATATATACGCCGGCAGCGCAAATTGGCACAGCAACAACTCCATCGGGTGTGAGAATCGGGCGAATATATAGTTCGTGCATGCATGCATGGTTCATGCATGCAAGTAGTAATGTACTCCACTAGTCTTTCGGGCGCGCCCATGCGCGCGGTGCACTGGCCAAACGTTTTTTTGGGAAGAAAAGATATAATCAAAGTTGGACTGTATGTTAATTTGAGAAAAATCCGAGGAGGTTTTCGCAAAAAATGGTGAGAGGGTTTGTGGAGCACGGGTCGATTTTCGGAAAAGGTAAGGGTTTTTTTGCAAAAAACCCGGAGGGCATCCGTTCTGGACTGCGGGTTGATTTCAAAAAAATCTGAGGAGTTTCTTGCAAAATATCCTGAGAGGGACTCTGGATCGCGGGTTGATTTTCGAAAAGCAGAAGGTTTTTTTCGAAAAATGACCGCGGCTCGCCCGATCTGGGCCGTCCGCGCGGCCGATGGAATGGCCACGAAAAGCCGGCGACGTGGACACGCTGGCTGCGTGAGCTGGCCACACCGCGGCCTGTTCGCTTGCTCGTAAACGATCGTAAATTTCCAGCCGGGAACAGTGTTTTTCTCTCACATCAAACCAGCCAGCAGTAAATAATCCACGATACGATACGGCCTCCGAACAGGCTCATATCTTTAGATATGCCTCGGAATACAAAGTGGACAGCTAGCTAGCTTTATTTTGTTCGGTCAAGGTCAAGAATTCATGCATGTACTTTACTAATAACAGAGAAAAAGAAACGTAGCTAGCGTAACGAGGGAGGGACAGCGTACGTGCGCGAGGGGATAGATGGAGAATCGGAGGGTACGTACGTGTGCGCTGCCCATGGAAACGTACGCGAACTAGGCTAGGCTGCATGCAGTAGGTACGCTCCTGATGCGCTGCGCTGTGCAGCCGACGTGCCCCGCGGAGCGCAAAGGCAGGAATACATTACGATTTCCCGCGGCGCCTCCGTACTCCTTACAAAGCGGCATTGTCACTCACTTCATTCACTGCTAGCTGCTACCTTGTCACCTTTCTATCCTCAAAGAAAATAGCTCGTCGTCCCCGTCGTGCTACGTTCTACGACGACGTACCCACAAAGGCGCGCGGCGCGCCTGATGATCCTAAAAAGAGGCACGCGCGCCCGGGCTAGGTGGCTCATGATATCACTTCAGGATTCTCGATCTCCTCTCGGTCTCATGAGCTGATAGATGCACCGTGCAACGCGGAGAGGCCGTGGCCCGTGTGCACTGCAGAGTGCTACTGCTACAAGCAATCCATGTCGCCGAAACGGTCTCAGCTCTGTCGCGAAAGGCTACCTGAGTACCTGGCGCGTTTCGCCTACCGAATACCGATCGAAAGCTAGCTATCGCTAGCGCCAAGAGACGGGGCTAGGCAGGCGGTGTAGGTAGGCGTCTTTGCCCGAGGCGAGCGCACATGGCCGCGGCCGGCATGCCAAAAATGGCGTTGCCGTAGGCTTTCGGGGCAAGTGGGCGAGCAGGCGGCCCCAGAGGGACGCGGATCCGGCCGAGATCGTGCCGGCCCGCGTCGTCCTGCTGTCGACCTGTGCGTGTCAACAAGGGGTTGGCCGCACGCCGACGCCGTCCGATCAGGGTCGAGATGAGTGCCGGCTTTCGCCGGTGCGGTTGCTACTGTACAGAAAAACGAAAGTCGATTAGGGAGAGCGACAGGATCAGTGCGACCAAGATTAAAAGGCAGGGAGGGGTGAGCGAGCAGGCAGGAAAGGACCCAATCCGATCCTACGATTGATGGTATTATCAACCCATCTTTACCACTAGATCGGGCCTTTGCTGATCAAAATCCACCGACCTTGGTCCAAAGAGTGGATCGTGGACGGGGACGGCGACCGGCGCTCCCGTCCCTGGCTAATCCTTCGTCAATAAGAAACAAAACTTTCCCAAACCGGCATTGCGCAGCCGCACTATGGATCGATGAGCGCATGGCCACGCTGCTCAGGTTGTACTGGCTCTTTCTTGTAATTGTTTTAGCTTTTCCAGTAGTATCCATACTTTTGATTTCTTTCCCCGCTTCCAAGATTTTCTATTCGCGACACCACAAGGAGCGCCTTTTCCAACTTGGGCACGACAAGGTACGCAATCCGGACGAACACCAGCAAGTGGTATGAGCAATCAATGAATTGCAACGACAGGTAAAAAATTACAAAAACAAGAGCATAAATAACCAAAACCGGAACCTGAATACAGGCAGGCACTCACAGATGCGCTGTCGACCAAGGCCTATACCTTTAGCCGTACAGGGCTCCAAAGCAAGCACAACTATGTAACTCAAAAAAGAGAGGAACCATGCTCACCATATAATCAAGCATGCGCCAACCTGACACAACTCTGCTCACTCTTGCCAATGCAAGCACTCCATCTGGTTTGATCCGTGTGATCAGATCCTCATGAAATGGCAATCGATGGCAAAACCAAAACAAAATCAACCAGAAGGAGGAGCCAACGAAAAGCTCGTCCTCAGAGGTCATCTTCTACTGGCAAATGAAGCCAGCGCGCTTGCATGAGCTGGTGGAAGGGCACTCAGTATTGGCTGCATTTGCTGGCCATAGACAGATATCAAGTGAGAAACAGCCTTGCCAATATTTGTTTTGACTTCATCACTCTCATCTGGGGATACCACCACTTGGGCAAACACATGTATGACATCAGGCACAAGGGGAAGGATCTGCAATTGAAAAATGTTAAGCCCATGAATATAGACCGATAATGGACAACTGGTTCTAGAATCACCTGGGGATGTGATGATAATAATAAACTGCAGATGCAACCATAGACAGTCATTGATTCTTCATGATCTTCTTTTAGTGGCAAAGCTTTGATAAAAACTGGAAGAACCTATAAGAAAGCAATCAAACGCTTGTTACACTTTTGAATCTGAAACATGAAGCTGTCCAAACATACTAACTACAATGTTGTTCAAACCTGGTTGAGAGGAATTGACTGAGGCTGCACCATTATCATCCTAGCAATAGCACCAGCAGCATTATCTCTTACTGCATCATCTGATTCTGAGTTACCAAACAAATTATGCAGAGAACGAAGTATATCCCCATAGTATCTGCATAAAGATGAACAAGAACTAGTGAGCAACAAAATTACAGTATCAGGTGTTACTCTTTATTTTAGTTATGTAATGGAGACATTGAGAAGTAATCCAACTGCTGACTATAAAATGGAACAGCATCAAATATGTCTCATGATTCTTAGCTGCACCATCCAACACTTCAGAATGCTAGAGCACTTTAAATTTAGGAGCAGTGTTCAAGTTTATCAACAAATCTCATGGCAGGCTATTCACTAGAGGAAAAAAAATGGTTTGCTTTTTTGGTCATTTTGAGAAGAACTCTGAAAGACCATCAGGTCCAGATGGTCATGGTTACTTCTAGGGCCCAGCAAAGAAAGAGAACCCGAACAGCATATGGTTTTGAAGTTGAGGATATGACAATTGAGAAGTATAGGAAAAGAATACGGTTCTAATTAAACTGCTCTCACTTGCTGACATATATTAATCTAAATATATCGAATATGGATAAAGTGAGCATAACACATACTTTCCCCTTGTATCTATATAAGAAAAATGTTGCATTTGGGAAATTAAATCAGTAAAATGCAAGTCATTATTTCATCAGCTAGCTTTTCTGATTATAAAGAAAACTTAAAAAATACAAGCTTTTTTCTCAAATGACGCAAGAGAAATGCGTGTCATTTCATCAAAAGTAAGCATACAACATTTTTATTAGTGCAGCATACATCTTTTTATTGCTAATGCGCATATAAATTAAATACTACTTTCTTGCATCATCAAATATGATGATTCTAGAAAAAAAATACATACTTCAGTGCTGCAGCACCCCCATTCTTGCATATCTCGCCAACACAGAAAGCAGCATTTCTCCTATTAGTAGCATCAGATGACGCAAGCTCTTTCAACACCAAAGGCATTATCTTCTGAAGAATCCAAATGAAACAGTATGAAAGGGGCCGTTGAAATGATAAAAATTCATAGACATTAAAGAATGCTAGAAACATACATCAACATAAGCAGATATTGGAGCACCCATTTCCTGAGCAACCTCAGCTAAGGTTGCCACAACCATAGTCTTATCTTGGGGGGGATGGGGAGATTTCTGCATTTATTCCAGGAAGTAGTTTCAAAAGCAAAATACAAGACCACCATGTGTTTCAAAAGTATAGAACTTCCATTGAATTAATTAATCAATTGATGTGGAGCAAATGGGACTATGGAATACGCGCATATAGAGAGGGAGGGGGGGGTAACATACAGCAAATTTCATCAACGGATCAAATAATTTTGCAAAGATAGGATCAAAATAAGATCCCATCACTTTTGCAAAAGCAGGCAAAAGATCTGAAACTGCATCCATGAGAACTTCATCATGGTCAATGTCGCCATCATCCTCGCCATCTGATTCTACTTGTTGACAGCTTGATTCTTGACGTAAAAGAACCAGTGTTGCCTCAGCAAGCCTTAGCATGTCTGAAAGAGAGCACAGAAGGGTCAGTCTTTAACAACACAACCTAGTATTTTTCAGGCCAACCAGTACTGAACAGGCACAGCTTACAAGGCTCAATTGCAGCAAAACCACAGTCCTTCACAATGTCTGCTACACTCATGCAAGCTTGTGCAACTACCTCTTTATCGTCATCCTCTGTCATAGTCTTGATGTAGATGTTCAAAACAGTATCTGAAAAAATAAAGGTGGCATGGTTATTTGCTATCAAACAGGCCAAACAAACGTGAAATGCAGTATATCCAGCATTTACCAAGGACATCCTTCTGTTTCTCTAGTACATCCTGGATGGTACAAAAGAAAACATTATTTCATCAAAATTAATCTTTAAATCGCCAGAAGGTACGAAGGAAGTAGCATATGAATATTAGCACAACAAAATACTCACAGCATGTGTAGGAGGTATTGCCCTAACAGCAGTTAGAATATCTGCAAGAAGGGTTATCAATGTAACTACCAACAAAGCCATAAAATCACATTTTACGGAACACTACAGAAAATAATATACATTAAGATATGTTGAAAAAATATACTTACTTATACTAGTGATAAATTATGAAGTACAGATGTTTCGAATTGATTAACAACATACCATTCTGGATTTTATGCAAAATATTGTTGGAATAGCACTTTTATTCTTTTTCCTGTAATTATCATATAAAAATAGTTGGCTACTGCACTACCATTGGGTGAGTCCGTGAGTCTACCTCTACCTAATGTTTTGTTAAGTTTTGGCATTCCAATATGAAATAAGAATGCTGGAAACCTCATACACAGACAATAGTTATAAAAGCACTTCATTTAAAAGGCCACACTTCAGTGGATTATATGCCCCTTTTCACCTTGTATTTCAGTAATTCAGATAGCTAGACAACTTCACATAGTGCAGAGTGCAGAATATGTTTTTAAGACATTTAATTTCATTCACCAAATATTTTTTTTTGAGTACTGATTTCGTAAAGTTACAGATTAAGCAATCAACTCTTCTTTTTGTTGAACCATTTAGCCTGACAATGAAATTTCCACAATGCTGCCAGTGCATGAACAAGGGAAAGGAATTCCTTGTGAAAATTCATGCATCAAAGAGAAATAGGGGGTAAATTACGTTTCAAAGAAATGACTGCCTGCAGCCTGAGATCTTCATGGAAATAACCACTGTGCCTGATCAAAATCTTCAGTGACTCCTCCAGATACCTAGTGTCAGTCAAGGAAGTTTCGAAAGGTTAAACTGTGACTAGAGCAGCTTAGCATTTTTTAAAGGATACGGAGCATAGGCACTCTTCGTGTGTAGTGCGAAAAAACCAATGGCCTGTGTTGCAGCAGCTTTCTCATCTAATACCCCCGTCCTAACACTGATATTTCTAACTCTTGGCTCATCATTAACATCATCATCAGATGAAACACCACCAAATCCATTTTCAATACTATCAGCATCATCAATGTCCACAGCAGAACCATCATCCAAGTTGCAGGAAGAAAATACGAGAGGGACAACATGAGGAAGATACTGAAATGTGAAACAACTCACTTTGGTAAATTTAAACATCAATCTGAAATTAAATAAAATTTTAAAGACCCTTGTTACCTGTGTAAAACTATCACCCAAAATTTCAGCAACATTACTAAAGAAACCATGAGTGTACTCTCTGAGTTCACTGTACTCCAATCCAAAACCCTGCGAGTACGAAGAACATAAAGGTTGCACTCAATGCTGTAAAAGTAACTGAAGTTAATGGAACCACAACTTACAGCAATAGCAGCCTCAATAAAAGGAGGCAATATTGCTTCGATTCTTGCTCTGCCAACTGCCATTGCTACTATCCCAACAACCTCAGTAGCCCTAGCACGTGCACACAGATCTTCATCATTAATAAGCACCATAAAACCTTTCATCATCTCAAGGACTTTTTTGGCGTATGGGGTAAAAGCCTGCTCCGCAGCAGCGGCCACCGAACCAATTGCAGACTGCAGAAAATATCATCATTGTCAAAATAAAAGATGATTTTATGTTAAAATGGTTATCATCTTTCCAATACACAACTTATATAGATACTATATATTACTACACACCATGCATGTCTCTTGCAAGTTCCGAGGACTGCTCTGCAAAGACATAACCAATCTGCATATCAAGGGCTCTAGATATGGTAGGATATCTTCACCCATGTCCTCACAGAATGCTGCAAGAGCATAATATGACTTCTCCTGCAAGAACAAATGAATTAATTGATTATATTGCCAAGTTTACCATCCAACCTAAACAATTATGGAAAAGGATGTTGGCTTGCTGCCCATTTATAGAATAGAAAACATCATCGGCATTTGATGGCTATACCTTAACTCTTCATCTGATGGGTCTTCAAGAGCATTTAGAATGCATGGAAGTACACTCGCATAATGAGATAAAATTTCTGGTTGCAGGTGTTCAGCAAACTGACCAAGAGCAAAAGATGCAGCGCCTCTAACCATTTGTTCTTGGTCCTTTAAAGCTTCCAAAACAATTTTCAGACAATCCTCCAACTTATCTTTCAAATGTTCACAACAACCCTCTGAGATAACACCCAGTGATGTCACAGCAGCCTCACGATACTTCGGATTAATGTGATGAAAGCTCACAGAAGCAAACTCAAGAACTGGTGCAAGAACATGCCTTGGTAAGTTGATAGCCATTGTATCAATGACTTCGGCAGCAGAACGATCTGCTGCTAGATCAGAATCTTCATCTTCATTAGCTGTTTCCGTAAGCAATGGGCACATAACTTGCAGGATAGGTACAACCAGCTTGTGCTTTTTCAAGAAAGATGCTTTAAATTTTACCAGCCATGAAATTATCTGGATAGCCTGAAACAATCATTTGAAACAACTTAGTAATCTGTAAATAAGTTGGGAGATATATTAGAGGATGCTGAGGCCTGATCAAACCTGTTGCCTTATATTTATTTCCAAATCCTGGTTTGCAGAAACTTCCAGCGAGAATTTCACAATTGACCTCACAGAGTCTCCAAGAAGTGGTGCAGGAGATTCAATTAGTTCGTCAAAATTTCAAACGCAATGGAAGCAACATCTTCTTCTCCATTAGCAAGACACTGCCTTGATACATTCAAGATACTGGGAACAAAATCCCGAAACATTTTTACCTACAAAATGTACACATATGGTCACAAGTTCACAACATTAGCTGGCAATGTGTCAAATGGTATATTCTGCAAGAACAATCATCAAACATGAAACTAAATTGCAACTGCAAGAAGATAGTGGAGGATGCAGACAACATTTATACACTTAAAACAAGCACTCAGAACTCTAGGAAAATTGTATCCGTACAGTTAGCAAGGTGAAATTGCGTGTAGCATAACATATTTCATATTTCGCACTGATTTGGAAAGAATATCATGTGCATACAACATAATAATTAGGTACAATTATCCAATGCAATTTGTCCCCAAGCTCCAAGAAAATACAAATTAGATAATTAAAAAAAAACTCAGCTACAAGAAGTCCTTAAATATGTAGTTCCCCTTTCTCCGGCAGTATGATAATAAATAACTCAATGGGAACTGTACTTATCTCGAGAACAACTTTCATTTTGCACATATGTTCATTTGGATAAGAGGTTTGCATAGTAATGATTAGAAATGAGTCAGAGCGTACTGCATACTACCTACATTTCAAATTGTAAGTCATTTTAGTATTGTCCTAAGTCAAACTTGTCTAACTTTGAGCAAGTTTATAGAAAATATATTAACATCTACAATATGAAATAAATGCACTATCAAAAATATATTTCATGTTGCTGTAAATAAAAAATAATAATCCAAGTAGTAGGGCCATAATTATCATAGAACTACCGCATTCTCAACTCTAATCAACTTTAAAGAAACAAAAAAAATTAGAAAAATACAGCTGACAAAAGCAAAACTTACAATGTCACCTCCATCATTGACATACTCTATGAATGATCCAACAGCCCTGTTGCACAGAGAAAAGTAGTTCATTCAGAGCACAATTTGGCCAGATATATTGTTTTCAATGAGCTTTTCGACACAAAAGTTAACCATACTTTAGGGCTGCAATTCTGACTCGAGAGCTAGTTTCGTCTTGCAGACATTTCAGTAAAATAGGTTGCAAATTGTTCAGATGAGACTGAAAAGTAGCTCCGATAGTTTCAGTAAGGGAGCTGAAAAGAATCAAAGCCACCTGCAGAAGAAATAAAATGGCAGCAGAACTTTGAGACACTCAGCATTAGCTTTTTGTTTGCGCAGATAAAGCAGCAGTTGCTTCCTGTACAATCAACCTTTTTGCAAAACTGTACAAACAACTTTTGATAATGTAAAATGTTCCCACCAAACAAAATTACAACAGAATACAGGGTTCTAAAATGTTTGCCGCATGCCAGTACAACATGCAATGCTCGGATGAATAATTGATATTAATTAACAAATGCATTATCTGAATGTTAGATCAATTTATTGATGCTAATAACCCAGTTACCCACTGACACAAACATGGAGAAAGGGAAGTGAACAGCAAGTAAAATCATTGAAGAATGGTATAATGACAAATTAGGTTTCACATATGCATCAACAGCGTGACTCAACTTTTGTTTGTGTTCCTGACCAGCAGGAAAAAGAATAAAATTGTGTGTTTAAAGGAAACAGATAGGGTTTTACACAGACACAAAATGAGTCAGACCATTTAGCCCTTAACTTCAAGTGATTAGATGTATCCTCGTATTTAAGACTTCATAATAGACAAATGTAGTAACGTGCACAACAAGGAATAGTGAAGCCGATATGCTGCTGATATGGTGTCAAAATACCAAAAGATACACATTAATTTTAGCTATTGATGTGGTAAAAAATCAGAAACTTACTACAGATAGAAGAAAATGACATTGCAAATACAATTTTGTTATGTTTAACATCTACTCCTATAATTCATCTAATAGGAAACCACAATGTCATTCTCCTTCAATATGAATAGTGTCTATATTCATCTGCTTGGTAGGAATAAAGCCTTCATCAAGATAAACTTACTTCTCTATGATCATCTTGTGGACTTTGGCTGCATTGGAAAAGGAAAGGTAACAGCTCTGGCCACTCTCCTGCAGGGATAGCATACTTAGCTATAATGCTCACGACATTTGCACTAGCTCGCCTTACAGGATGACTGCATAAAATGGAAATAGAGACTCTAAGCTTAACAGAAGTACATGTGAACAAAAAGTTGTAAGGCAGGTCAAAAATAGATGAACAGCACAAAGTTTTATCTGCAACATTTGCACCAACTGATGAGATGTTTTGTGTTGTAACTTGTAACCATGATCTTCATGAAAACTATGTTCTATGGACCTCAGCAGGTTCTGATTAGTTTCAAGTTTCAACTGTACTAGAGATGTGTATCTCTTGATTTCAACCTACCAGATCCAGTCATTGGTGGTAAATTAATGGTCGACTCTGGTCAATATTCATGCCATGCAAATTTAGAAGTGTGATTTAACAAACTACATGTAAATGTCAAAATGTAACAAAAAACTTAGTTTTGGAGAAGAGATGCTACAGTATTTTTAGAAGTTTTGGGTGGAAAAAAAATGTAATAAACCATTTGATGTGGGTTTTTTTTCTCTGAATTGCATTCCGTATTGGCTCAACCGGACATTTAAATGTGAAGGATGAAATAGAGAACTACACAAGGATTCAATGCCATTGAATGACGTATGAAGAGTGCTTAGAATGCAAAAGTATTCACAATAAAAGATCACAAGCCCTTTGTCCTTTGCTTCCACATGGCAGTTGTTCCATGTTTTAACTCTTTACAAAGGAATCTCTGCAAGAGCTTAAGCTGTGGGTTGTGATCAAGATGATGCCCATGAACAAGAACTAAGCAGATTTAGGTCTAGACCCCAAGTAAACAGAAATGGTAGGCCATCCAATATCTGTATCAGTTACCATAATTCGACCACAGTGCACTATCATGTAACCAATTGAAAAAAAGCACGGCCTGGATCAATCAGCTCTAGAGCAACCATGATTAATTTAGCTCAGCAGAAAGTATATTATCATGAGAAGTTGGGATTAATCATCAGTCATGTTATAACATGGATGAGAATATATTGTGCAGATAATCTTCTGCAGTAATCATACAAAATTGGGTGGAGTACAAGCGAAATTTCTCCCCAATTGGAATTATATTATATGAGCAATTGCGGTCACAACAGAAGCATCAAAATTCTAAGTTGCTTGGGGCCAAACAGTAAGGTTTACTGAAGCTGGAGCTCTCAATTCAATTCTATGATCAGCGCAAACTAATAAGTTGAGAACACACTCAAAGTGTCCTTTATGAAGGACAAATGCGCAATTTAAGTGAATTGAAAACGCGCAAATTCTGAGGCAGACATGCGCAGAAGGGCTGGTAATAGGTATCTAGCAAAGAACCTGTGGTCGAGTGTGATTGAGTCGATGAGGGCTTGCTTAAGTGATGCCTTGGAGTCCGGGTGAAGCTTGGGCCAGTGAGAGGTGATCTTCTTGCGGAGTAGCACGGCGGCGAGCTGGCGGACGTTCGGGGTCTTGGCCGTGCGGAGATGGTGGACGAGCGCGGGGACCACCTGCGGGTCGCGGGCCAGCCGCCGGATCTGCTCCTCCGCCTGCCGACGCGCGTCGTTGTCCGGCATCAGGAACTGGATCAGCAGCAGCTCCAGCGACTGCGCCATTCCTCCCGCCTGATGCTGATTCTGGCCGCCGCCTGAAGGCCTCCTTTTACTGCGCAATCGGCCGCGCTGGCGGCGGCGGCGGCGGCGGGCTAGGGGGCAGCAAAAACCCTATCGATTTGGCGGCGTGGTGGCTCGGGCTCTGGTGGCGGCGCGCGTTGGGGCGCGGCGTCAGGGGTTTAGGCCCCGTTTAGTTCCATCCAAAAACCAAAAAATTTTGCGTAGTACCCGTCACATCAAATCTTGCGGCACATGCATGGAGTACTAAATATAGACGAAAAAAAAAACTAATTGCACAGTTAGGTGAGAAATCGCGAGACGAAACTTTCGAATCTAATTAGTTCATAATTAGACACTAATTGCCAGATAAAAACGAAAGTGGTACAGTACCTAAAACCCAAAAATTTTTGGATCTAAACACGGCCTTAGTAGAAGTAGTAGGGAAATTGCTGTCTTTTCGTGTTTGTTACTTTTTTTTCTTATATATTTTCTTTTCTTTGTATATATTAAATGATTTTTAAAAATTTCTGGCCGGAAGGGGAGCAGCTGCACGTCTGCTGGTTGCTGCTTTCTACGGAGGAGCAAAGAGTGCAAAGCCCTGCCAGCCTGTCTCGAGTGGTTGGAATGGGCCTAGCCCAATTGTACCCGTGTGATCGTGTGGACTAGAGTCCAGACCAGATGTTGCCCTCTTCTAAAGGCTCACCCAATTCTTTTTTTCGGGCCTTTTTTCGGTGAGGGTTCTTCAGAAATGAAGACAGTAGAACTTCGATTAGTTTAGGCCCAGACAAATTTTCTTCCTTTTACTGAGTTTGGAAAACCTCTACCAACTCACTTTGGGAGACATCATCTGCTACCATAACAGTGCGGACTTTTTTCATAACCATGACATCCCATTAAGGCGCTGCTTCTTTTGTCCAACAGAGAACTTCATTCAGCCTGTTCGTTTAAGTCAGAACGATCGTGGATTATTCTATCTTTGGCTAGTTTGGTGTGAGAAAAAATATTGTTCCAACTTATAATCCACGATTGTATACTGACAGCGAACACAAAGCTGATTGTTGGCAACATATTTTTCAAAAGATTGGATGTATACCAGTTACTAAAAGGAACACATGAACCACTGACACCCTCTTGCAGTCTTGCATATTTTGGGAGGTACTTTGACCTATATTTAAGATTTCCGCTCCTCCAGTGTTGGCAAATCCATTTTACGTAACCTGCAAGACAGTTGAATCTGCAAATTGTACCGTTCTTTCCTTTATGAATCATAATATATAGATCGTCGGTACAAGTTCTAGTGCGAATGGTGAGCTCATCGCCTCATCCTGTTAACTACCATTCGGTGCGCCTGCCAGCTTCCAGTATTGAATTCCAAGCTTTCTCACCGCGCGGGCAGTTCTCAGCACGGACTTCAGCGGTATGGTTTGTGAGTTTGTCCATGCCACGGTACGATGGAGGCGCGGCGGGCCGTAGTAGAGGATCACCGTTAGCCCACCCGGACCCAGCCAGCCTACGTAAATTTTAGGAGGAATCCGCGACGAGTGCCGCGGCAGGGGAGATCCGCGAATCGGCCGCGTAGGAAAGGCTCGTCCAGCCGCAAAACTCACGTGAAAAACTGGCCTGCTCGGCCGCGTCGGCCACCCGCCGGCCGCCGTGGCAGACGAGACGACGCCCCAGCCGCGTGCGCCGGCGCACGCCCGGCCGGCCCCGCCGAGCGGGAGGCCCTTTAAGTTCCAGGCTTCCAGTTCCAGCCCCGCAACCGCTAGTAGTCTAGTAGTACTAGCGTAGATTACTCTGCTGCCCCCATCGCTCGTCCCCGCCCCGCCGGCCTGACATCGCGTCGCGTGCCAAAGCCGAGGCGCACAAAAGCAACGAAAGCGAAAGCAAAGCGGCCACCACCTTCCCCCTCCCTCTCCTCCTTCCTCCACGGCCCCACCCGTCAGACCGAAGCCCGAGCGCCAGCGGGCATCTCTCTCGCCTCGTCTTCTCGTCCGGTCGTCCCCTAAAATGAGAAACCTAGTACTGCTGCTATAGAAGTCAAGTCACTCCGCTCGCCCGCGTGCCCAGCCACCCGGCCGCGCTCCAGAGGCGCCCACGGAGACGGAGCCTATGCCACCGGGCGCCGCGGCTGTCGCCGCCGCCTCGCAACAGGCCGACTGCTGCGGCCACGGGCCCGGGCCCGGGCCCAGCTGGTGCGGCGGCGGCGGCGGCTGCGACGTCCCTGGCGGCGCGTCCTGCAGCTACCTGCCGCTACGCAAGCGGCTGTCCGTGGACGGCAAGTTCCCGGCGCCGCGGATATGCATCTGGGAGTGCGACGGCGAGGCCGGGGACATCACCTGCGATATCGTCGCCGCGCCGCTCCGCCGCAGCTGCAGCGCGAGGGCAATGCCGCCGCCGTCGCCGGCCTCGCTCTTCCGCCGGATGATGAGGCCGCCGCCCTCGCGGCCCAGGCAGCCGCAGGGGGTGGTGGAGGATGATGTGGCGGCTAGGAGGCCCGGGGAGACCATCTCCAAGGGCCACCGGAGCTACGGTCTCATGCTTAACCTGCAGCTTGGCATAAGGTACCAATGCTCGCTCTGCTACGTTTCCGTGTGTCCTTTCCTTGGGATACGCTGCGTCTCAGTGTTGCTCTGGTATTCGTGCCGTAGCTATTCGGTGGGGAAGTCATCGGCGCTGCCGTTCAGGAAGCTCTCGTCATCGGACTTCGACCCGCGGGAGAAGGTGTGGACGCGGTTCCCGCCGGAGGGTCCAAGCTCACGCCGCCGCATCACTCCGTGGATTTCCGGTGGAAGGACTACTGCCCCGCAGTATTCAGGTGCCAGACTATTGCTCTGCTGCCCGTGGATTTTGGTCATTTGGAGAAGAATGGCAATGGTTTATGCGCATGGATACATTGCCTGACTGCTATGTGATGCCAGGCACCTAAGGAAGCTGTTCGGGGTGGATCCTGCGGACTACATGCTCGCCATCTGCGGGAGCGACACGCTCCGCGAACTGGCGTCGCCTGGCAAGAGTGGGAGCTGCTTCTTCGTTACACAGGACGATAGATTCATGATTAAAACCGTGAAGAAGGCAGAAATGAAGGTCATTCTTAGTGATAGTTTGATTTTTCTAGACTAAATATCTTAGTTCATGAGCTAGTCACATGCATGTTTTGAGTTTTCTTCGACCACTTTGATCATCTTTAATTCTGTGCCTGAACGATTTCTGCAAAATGAGATCTATCGATACAAAATAGCTTTTGTGATACCCATTTTTAGCCGACACCTGCTCTCTTTTTTTTCCTAGAAGTTAGATTCGCTGTCCATCTTTATATCCCAAATTTAGCTTGTTTGTAGGTAAGAGTACACACTAATATTAATTGGCGATATAAACATTGGTTTATTCAAAATATTCCCCTGCAGGTTCTAATTAGGATGCTGCGGAGTTACTATGAACATGTTTGTCAGTACAAGTCCACTTTGTTGACAAGGTTCTATGGCACACATTGCATCAAGCAAGCTGGATGTCCCAAGGTAAGCAATATTCACGTGAAGATACATACTCATAACTCGTATAATTCTCTTATTTGTTGTTGTGGACTTGTGGTATTTCTATGCAAATTTTCTCGACAATGACATGATGCCAACCTAACAACTAGGTCCGGTTCATTATAATGGGCAATTTTTGCTGCTCAGAGTATAAGGTCCATAGGCGTTTTGATTTGAAAGGCTCATCACATGGTCGTACTATTGACAAAGCGGAAGAGAAGATCGATGAAACAACTACTCTAAAGGACCTCGACCTTTATTATGCATTCCACCTACAGAGATTTTGGTACGATGAGCTGATGAGGTGAGTTTCGCATTAGATTGAATTAAGATAATTGGCTGCAATATCGTGACAGTTGCACGGACCAATCCTAATTTTGACTCATGTTATCGCACAGGCAAATTCAGATGGACTGCACATTCTTGGAGACACAAGGGATTATGGACTACAGCTTGTTGCTAGGAGTTCACTTTCGTAATGATTTCTCAATGTCTAAAATTGGTGTATCTCAGTTTATTGGTTTGCCAAGTAAGTAGCATAGAATTCCGTTAGTTTCAAATATTCTGAATTGTGGCAAGCATATATTTTGGCACATTAGCTGACACTCACCTATTTTTTGTTAATCAAATGTTCACTAGTTTTGATATAACATTGACAATGTGCCTGATCAGAATCCACGGGCAAAAGAAAATCATTTGAAGGTGGAGGCGATGTTTGTGAGCTTTGCTTTACGGAATCTGGATGCAAGGACAGAGATTTCATTGTTGACTCTCGGTAACATATTGCTTTCGTGTCCTCTTTCAATTTATTTTATTTTTTTGCAACTATTCTGAACTATCTGGTATAATGAAAACTCATTATGAACGTAGTTGTAATAAAGCACCATACCCAGTGATGGGTCAATATCATGGTTATTTGTATAAAAACTGATAGATCACCAGAATATTGGGTCATAATTTTTCTCTTTTTTGGGCGCTATTGTCGTTCGGAAATTGTGTATTGCATATGTAATATGTAATATTTCACTGTTAAAAAGCTACCAATTGCTCCTGGCTACTTTTAGGTGTACCTATTCACTAGCTGCTTGCTTCTATGACTGCATCAGTTTTACTGTTTTGATAATTTGGGCACTGCCGCACCACAAAGTAGAAGCTCTGTTTCTCTAAATTGACAAGTAGTTCAATCTCCTACTTTTAGTTGGGAGATTGCTACTCTCCACTATGTCAAAGTGCTGATTTTTATGTTGTGTTTTTCAGTAATGCAATTTTATGTTCTCATCATGATCCTACTTTGTTGCTCCCTATGTAGCCAACAAACAAGAAGCATCATGGGGTCATGTGTGTTTGTTTAAGTCAAACCCTTATAAAGGAACCCTTAAGATACCTTTAACTTTTGGGGCTAATATTTCCCGAACTGTAGCTGTTGCATACCATAATAATATTGTCGAATCCTTTCCGTTGTGCTAATGTAACTCATGGTCTGCTCTTATCAGGAAACCACTGGTCCAGTTAGGCAAGAACATGCCCGCCCAGGCAGAGCGGAGGTCGAAGAGAGTCCTCGATAAGTTTCTCCTAAACGAAAGACACTTGTTTATAACCACATCAAGTGGCGGATTCCGGGATGTCTATCTCTTCTTTGGAATAATTGACATTCTACAAGACTACGACATAACCAAGAAGCTCGAGCATGCATACAAGTCCTTTCAGGTCAACCCTGGTTGCATTTCTGCTGTAGACCCGAAGCTATACTCGAGAAGATTCCAAGACTTTATTCGCAGAGTGTTTATCAGAGAACAGTAAGAAAAATTTGCCCAGCGTTAACGGGTGACTGCTCCACTGACATTTTACATCATGGGATCCATCGGTGAAGTCCTGGGTATGCGCCCAGTTCGCTGGGCTTATAAGGCCCCGTTCGGAATCCGCACTATTCAGTTTGTTTTTTTAACCGAAACAGTGTTTTTCTCTCATAACAATTCAACCATATTAGTGTTTTCAGTCAGTTTCAGCCAAGTTTCAGCAAGCCGAATGGGACCTAAGCTGGATTTTTTCAGTCAACAAACAGTATTTTTCTCTCACAATAAATCAGTGAACGGTGCTTTGGCAAGCGAACAGATAGTTTCACCGATCCCGAGCGTGCCCTGAAACAGTGGAAAGGATGGTCGGTTTACCCGACGCACAGTGAATAATTGGCGTCGAGGGAGGAGCACTGCCGACACGCATGCTAATGCTGAAAGGATGCGGGCTAAAACTATAGAGCTTCGCCTTTTCAAGGACTTGTAAAATGTAAGTGCCGGTTCCATGATTGCGGAGCACATACCCAAACCTTGCTGTTTGTTTATTCTTCTTCTGCACTCGCATCTTCCAAGAATCTCAACTAATTTAGCTTCTTGGGATGCTTGATGGATACTACCAGTATGATCTTGGCCGAATGGGGATCAGAGATTGTACATGCACATACTGTCGTGTAGTGTATACCCTAGATGGATTTAGGAACTGATGCATCTTGTCAGAGTTTAAAAAGGAATTTGGATGCATTCCTGCATTAAGTATTACTAGCATCTTGCTTTTTCGCTTGCGGTTGAAACGTCTCTTGTTCCAGACTGTTTGGATGAATGAATTCCTGAAGCAGCCATGTTCTTTTCGCCTGCTCCTGCTCTGGGTCTGGCTGACCACGGTGGTGACTGGAGACTGGAGTATGGAGGGAGGCAGAGCACCACTCGCAGTCCTGCCACTGGCTCGGCGAACTGGCGAAAGAGACAGGCATCAAAAGGAGAGAAAGCGGGTGCAGGGAGATGCTGGGACAGATCTGGTCTGCTCCTGTGGCCCGTGTCTACTAGAGTGGTGCGTTTTTCTTGCGTCCTCTCGCTGTTGCTACATGGCCGGCCGGCCTTTTCCTCCTCGTTCTCGACTACGCCAAGGCCCCGACGCCGTTTCTTCTTTTCGTCATGCTCATGCTCTGTTTCTTCTGTCATGCCCTACTTTGCTTGGATCTACATCTACTGTGAAAGGGCCAGCCTCCCTTCGACCCTTAAGCATCGGCAAGGCTGCAGGCCAGGTGGTCAGAGCTTAGTTCTGATCTTTAGGAACTCAGCAGATGATGCACTGCAACTGTCACGCACGACGCTTATAGCCCAGATGATACAGTGGCACTCCTATCTTCTATGCGCTGCTCGGCGGCGGCGGCGACATAGGACCAACACTCCACGCCACGTGAGAAGACAGTGTGGTACTATTTTTATTAACTCTAACAATAAGGTTATAGCCCAAATAGTACCGACGTTCACCCTGTTCATTTTATCACAACCATTTAGAAAGTCAATTATATCAAATGATATAGTAATCGTAGTATCGAGATATTATATAATTTTATGTAGGATTGTGTGAGGCCTGGTCCGATTGGTTGCTATTGCATTGCATTAAGGGTTACGCAGCATACCCTTAACTTGGACAAGACTATGCAATCCAAGTCATGTTTATTTTCTTTGGCAAAACTTTTGCCCAGCACTTTAGCCCATATTTTGGACAAATGGATCTAAACACCTGGGCTAAAAGTGAGCAAAAGAGGAGGGGGCTAAAGTTTAGTCCATTTGCACATCAAGAGGTGCAAAACTGGGCTAAAACGTCTTGGGGTGCGTGAAGGACACCTCGTACCCCCACTCACCCACCCGCCCGCGACCGTGCGGCACCTTCCGTAGCCCCTGCGTCGCGCCCTCCCTCCACCTCGGCCGGTGCGCCCTCCTCCCCCCGCGTGGCCTCCTCCACCGGCGGCGGCGCCATCTCCTCCCTCTCACCCTCCTCCTCCCCTGGATCTCGGCGCAGAGCATCTAGATCTCACGGTTGCGGCGAGCGCCTCCCCCTCGAGCACCGCCGACGTATGCCGCTTCAGCTCCCCGCCGCCGTTCGCCGTGCCATGGGCTGGCCTCACCCCTCGGTGCTGGCTGTCATCGTCGCCGAGCGTGCAGCTAGGAGGGTAGGGAGGAAGGGGACGGAGGGGCAAATCAGTAATTTTTTTATGAAAGACTAAACTTTTGCCATGGATCTAAATACCTTAAGCAGGACTAAAGTTTAGCAGCAAAAATTTAGGGGCTAATCTTTTACCATGGCAAATGGAACTAAACAGGGTCTCGATCTTGTTTGGTTTGCTAGATAAAAAAACTGCACACTGTTGTACACATGATTGGTTTCATGCATAGATGGTCATCTTGTATATGCTAGTGCAAACAGACTATGGCCATGTTCGTTTGGTTTATCAGTCGTACTTTTTTCAGCGAAGTAACAGTGTTTTTCTCTTGCAACAAAACGCCAAATAGTACTTTCAGTCTAGCTTTTTAGCAAAGCGAAGAGAGCCTATGTTTGGTTGATTGCATAGGTTCGTCCTTGCACAGCTCATATGGTGACCTTACCCCGCACACAAGTGCACGCATTACACTTTACAGTTTCAGAGCTCGAGATCTTGAGAACCTTTGATCGGATCACTTGGGTGCTTAAATACTTTGCTTAGCTTTATGATCCAGCTTCATTTTTGCTGAGACAGATTGACAAGTTTGTATATATATAAAATTGTGAGAATAGTTCGTAAAAATAAAATTGTGAGAATATCTCAGCAATAATTGTTGACTTTGCACTGTTGCGTGTAATTGATAGCTTAAGGCCTTGTTAGGATGCACATCTATCCACGTTAATCCATATGTGTTGGTGTGGACTAAAGTGGAAGTTGAACTAAATTCCACTCCAATCTACCTAATACGTGTGAATTGATATAAATCAGACAACATCCAAACAATACCTAATATTTTGATTCATCTGAGCATGCGAGTCACAATTGCTCCCTGCTAACCTTTCATACAGAAACATTATGAAATTAATATCATCCCATCTCCTGACTCCTATCAGTGGCGAGCTCAGTACCTAGAAGCGACGACTGCAGCCTGCATGACCTGATGATCCCCGCGGCAGCCAGACGATGGTCATCGTCGTCGAAGTTGACTAGCTTGTCAAAGCAGGCTACGTCGATCTCGGATTCTTGGTGGTGGCGCGCGAGTCGGTGGCTGGAAATCTGGACGGTGACTTTATTGGAAGAGCGACTGCAGAGCGGGTGCGCGGTGTCTGCACAACGGCTGCAAGAATGGATCCTGGCATGCAGAGCGGGTGCTGGGGTTCCTTGCATAGCTGGATAGTGGATACGCTGATTTTGAGCGTATAGCGGGGATGCAGGTATTGGTTACTTTGAGGAGAGTGCTATGTTGTATAAAACCTTGTACAAGTAACCAAACAATTCTAGTTTGCATTACGGTGGCCTAGAGAAAAGTTATGCGAGCAACCAAACAAACCCGCAGAATAATCGGTATTGTTTCAACTCAGCACGATCGGTAATATCGTAAGATTCTAAGATGCGGATCTTTTTCCTAACAACCTTGGATCGTACTGCTAACATTCTCTGCTCTAGGCAATTGCATTTCGGGTGAATACATTGAGTAGTTTTCTTTGAGTTGACTTGATTGCTCTTGTCGCTATAGACCACAAACCTATAGCTAGAAGTAGCTTTATGTTATTTGTTTTACTAATCAGATTTGTCTAGTGTCTTTGATTTTTAGTGGTCACTGACTATTCACCCCCTATATTGGTTCCTATATCCTTTTGAACACATAATTGGTATTTATCTCCTTCCCTTAGCCTTGATATATGCCCCACAAGGTGGGGTGGAGATCCTCCTAATCGGTATTTATCTCCTTCCCTTAGCCCTACTTGTGGCGCACAAGTAACACATCCACAAACACAG